CATCTAATTGCTTATTAAGCACTTTTGTAAAGTTGCCTGAAGTAATTAGGTGCATGCGTTTTTAAATTGCAACATGCTCGATCGTGTTTGGATGTGTTGCTTATTAGTACACAATTTTGCATGCTGTAATGGTTAAGGTGTGTATGTGTGTGTTTACACCTAAACCCAGGCATCCTCCATGAAGGAATGTCTGTGCCCTGAACTGCTGTGCTGGAGTAAGCCGGTTAAGATATTTACAGGATTTGCATTACTGTTGACACATTTTTCTTAATCTCATTAAGCTGACACCTATGACCCTCTTTATATAAAACATAAGGAAAGGAGGTGGACACTTCACTCCACCAAGCAGAAAATCACTCCCAGAGGTCTCTATCACCTCCGATGATTCAGCAAAACAGCGACACAGACTACCGGTGCTTATGGCAATGCAAGTAATAGAAAAGAGTGCTTGAGAATGTCCTGACACGATAAATCTGGCTTGACCGCTGGTCACTACTGCTGAGAAAATTTGGTGGATTTACAAGCCAGACACACACACACAGAATGTAAGCTCTTGACCCAAACCAAATGGGTCTCTGTGAGCGTTCAAGTGAGTCATTCCAGTCAGGGGAAAAAAAGTGTCAGGACGGAGAAGTTCCTGCTTCTCTCCTGTCAAATACTTTGATGTAGCTTCACAGGCTCTTAAAAAACGGGGCGAGTTTAGATGCCAGTTCTGGAACTTTCTCTCCCTCAGCCGGGTACATGGCCAAATGGCAGCGCAACTGCTTCCTTGCTCACAGCAGGGCAAGCTCTCTCATATCTGCTGTGCAATTTTTGATTAAAGCCCCTCAAAATAATGAAATAACCAAAATCAAAATGGAGACACATTAAAACCTCAGTCGGGGAGCGGTGCTAACGAGACCCTGAATAGCCAGTTGAGGTCTTCGGTTCTTTCTCCCTTAGTTAGGGTTCTCCCCCCTTCTCTATCCCTCTTCCCCTGAACCCCCTGTAGTGCGCAGATGTGTGTGTGTGTGTGCATGTGTGTGTGTGTGTGTGTGTGTGTGAGAGAGAGAGAGAGAGAGAGAGAGAGAGAGAGAGAAACACAGAGGAGCTTCAAACAAGCTCAAAATCAAAAACAGATCCAGACAGAGGAGCAGGTGTCAAATGATGGCAAGATGGCTGCAAATGACAGAGGCGGCACATCATTTTCTGCTGGATCTAAAGAAAAGTTGATTATCTAAATAGAAATCATGATTATGCAGAATACAAAAACAAAATTTCTGGCTTGAAAGTGATTTTTCCAGTTTTTGATTACAGGACACATAAAAGAAGAATTATATGTATGTATGTAATAAATTAAGAAATGTAAGAAATTATAACTTTTAATGAGCAAGGGTGCATTAAATTGATCATAATTAACTAATCTATCTATCTATCTATCTAAAGTAAAATTGATTTACTAGAATATTAAATTATAGTAATATTTCACAATTTGTTTATACTGTATTTTCTAAAAAATAAATGAAGCTTTGGTGAACATTTTTAAAAACATTAACAAACAAATAAATAAATAAAATATATTGTTATTGTCTTCATACATGCATACATGTAACTTCATAAATTCAAGAAAGAAAGAAAGAAAGAAAGCATGAAATAAAGAAAGAAAAATTATAATTGTCTTTGCTCTAGTGTGAAAACTGTTTGTGTGTGTGTGTGTGTGTGTGTGTCTTTCCCTCTCCTTTCATTCGCTCCCTCCGGGGGAGTGAGCAGGTGTCCAGTGACCCAGGAAGAGGGAGACACGGGTGGGCATGCGGTGAAGCGCATCCCTGGCTCAAATGTCCCCTGGAGACGGAGGACAAAATATCCCTCCTTTGTTAGCGGCCATCTTTCACTCACCCTCTCCTTTCCTTTCTCCCTCTCCCTTCTTCTCTGCTGCAGCAGAACACATTGTGCTCAGGTGTTTCTCCCGACCCCTTCTCCATTACAGGATATTAAGTCCAAAGAGCGAGAGCAGGCATTGTGACTGCACTCTATGCCGAGCCGAGAGTGTCTCTGTGCGAGCGTCTCTCTCCGGTACTCTCTAATAGAGTTTAAGGGTGAACTTGGAAATGTGGGACCAGAATTGAGATCCTTTCATTAGAACCGTGTCTGACAGCGCTACACACACCTCTTTCACTTCCACTCTCAGCTTCGGGTTGACAAATCCCGCTTTTTCCCCAAATGGAATTAACCTCCATTGCGTTTGAAGTCAAAAGGCAGTGTCGCGAGGGCCGACGGCCTATCCGCACAAACACAATCAAGCTCTGAGGCGACAAGCAGAAAAATCTTGAAAGCTACAACTGACTCCATCTTGAATTCGGTAGAGTGGGGAGTCAGGGAAAGAGGCCGAAAAAGCCAAACAGTGTGTCAATCATTTGGACACACTTTCTTCCATGGTGACGCCAGGCACATGTAAACAGGAAATCTTTTGGTATGGCTGGAGAAAGCTTTTTTCAACATTCATGTCAAGAGGCACGACTTGGAGGGAAATGGTAGCTGAAGTTAATACCAAAGATCTTGTAATGCAGAGAAGCGAAACAAACCAAGGAAAGAAAGAAAATGTTCTTTTTATTTTCTCCTCATGGACTCACTAACACTGTCTGCAGCTGTCTCTTGTTAGGACATAAGCCTCAGCAACTGCAGCATATGCCACAATTCAATGAGACAATTAGGAAAAAACCCACACGCACTTATGTTACATGTTAACACTTGTGCAAAAAAAATAAAAAACAATCGCGAGAAGGCATTTTAAAACATCATAGGCTGTTACAAAAGATGACTGTTAGAACTTAATTATGCTGCATAATACAAGATTATATTTCATAGGTATCCTTCACAGTGAAGACAAGCTCAGTGAAAAAATAAATCCAAGATGGTGGACAAGTTGGGATAAATGTTGATCATAAATAAGTCTATATTTTATTGTAACAATAATAATTTAATTCACATTTCATGCAATAATAATAAAAGATAAAATAGTGAAATTAAAAAAGTTAGTTTTTTTTAATCCAATATTTTTTTATTAGGGAATTAAAGTAACAGTTAAAGCAGTGGTTCATGATTTAATAATAAAATATAATAATAAATTTAATATATAAAAATTATATTCATTATAAAAATGCCCATGGAGTTATACAATTATTGTGTATTATTAATACTTAATAATATTACTTTATATGATTTCAAATCATAATTCTAAAATGAAGCTTCCTCATTCAATATATCCTGTTTTTCAAGGAATTCCGTTTTTTTTTCAAAGACAAAATTAATTAAAATAAAATTATATATTATAAAATGTATATATATAATTTTAATTTATATATATAAATTAAATAACATTTTATTTTTAGTCATTTATCATATATTAAATCAATTTAACTCATTTTGAGGTGCATCTTGGATGATTCCCACAGTCTTGAAAAAAACCCCTGTTTGAGAACCACTGGATTAGAGTATGGCATGTTTAACTTAGAAAAATGCTAACATTAAACTCTCAGAAACAACTATAGTTGACTTTCTTCTCTTATGTTTTTTTTTTAATATCAATCTGAGATACACACACATACAGCTTCTTTCACAAATATTAACTACATTAAGTAAAGTAAATAAAGAATCCGCAGAATATGCACCCTAAGGATCAGTGCGTTCATTGCTCTGGTCATCAGAGATATGAGAGTCACCCCACACATTCATCTCATAATGAAAAGCAAATATAGCAATCCTCCACACTCAGCACTTTCTTTCCTTAATTAAGCCAAAAGGTGTTAATGAAAGTGATTAGATAAGGTCTTCTTAAAGGTTATTTGCACACAACACCTGTTAGTCTAAGGAATATTAATAAATTAGAATAAGTGACAGGAGAGTGTGTGTGCAGGGAAGATAACGAATGATTCAGCTATTCATTTGCTTCATTTTCCCCCTTTCTTTCAAAATGGCTGTCCTTTAGCTCATTGTCAACAGCTTTAATTCTCAATTCATTTCATGAAAAAAAAAGTAGACAAAAAAGGGGGGAAAAAAAACCAATTTCATTCTCAATTGCACCTGAAAAGAACAACAAGAAACAAATCTGAGGGATTTTAGTGTGAATAAAAATATAATCAAAAAAGCATGTGAGGGCGTGATGACATCTCCCCCCCGCCGATGCCCCGCTCTGGGAGAGTGGCAGCGGAAGTGTGGCGGTGGGGCCCAGAGGAAGCCTGTCACCTGAGCATTCTTTGACCCAGCACAGCTGCTTTGTGGGAATGAACGACGGCACCAAAGAAAAAGAAGGAGTGAGAGAGGGAGAGAGAGATCGTCACTTCCATCACTTCTCCAGGTTTCAAGCATGATCAAATTTGCACTTCAAACCGCTGGGGCCTGTTAACCAGCCATTGTGAGTGTTCGCTCATGCGAGTGGAGCATTCCAACGATGGCTAGGTAAGGTCTCCTAGCGTCCGACACAAAGACAGACCTTTGATTGGGCCGCTGGAGGGTCCCCTCAGGGCCGCGGAAGCAGTAGTACGGGTATAAAGAGAAAGAATGCATGCGGATATATTGACCTCATTCTGCTAGTTATTGACTCTCAGGACAGTCGTGATAAAAGTCAAAAGAGTGTGATAATGGTAATATTGTGCAAGAGAGATGTGCATAGTAATTCCTTTCATAGGATCATCTATGTTGGAAAATCCATCTTAAGATTTAGAACATGGTAGCTGATTTCTAGGCAGTTCAAACTGTTTTTTTGAACACCCACAATTTCCCAAAAAACAGCTTGAGCACCTTAAGCTTCACTGGAAGTTTGTTTGTTGTTGGTCCAAGATGGATAATGACCATCTCAGACCAGCTAGAATCCAGGAACCATGTTCCAAAACACAGCTATCAGCTTAAACTGGATTTTCCAGCATGGTAGAGAGAAAAAAAGGTTTTTTTCTTTCTTTTCTGTTCGAGGTAGCTGAACTAAAAGACTAAAAGGCTGAATGTGGCCCTAGCGTGGCTCCACTCACCATTCTCACTGTCTGATTTGTTCTCGTGCTCTGTGTCGGTCAGGGTCAGGGCTGAGTTCGAGCGGCTGGACAAGCAGGAGTTGCGGCCAGACTTCACACCTCTGCCCCAGAGGTGCATGGCACGTTCCGGTGACATCACCCCCTCGTTCTCAGTGTCCATGTCTGAGCCTGCGCCAACGGAGTAGCCGCGGTGGGGGAGGCCCATCTCTGCGCAGAAGGCCAAGCCACGGCGTGTGGCTGGTTCACATATTCCCAGCTGCCTCAGGTTAAAGTTCTGACCTGTAAAAGAAATGCAACAAACTAATTCAGCAAATATCTATATACATGGTCCAATACAATCTACAATCTACAGGTGCCAAATGTAAATACAAACTGGCATTGGTGAGTACATAAAATAGAGTTATTCAGTAACTGAACTGTACCGTTTTTAAGAATCAAAACTTTTAGTTTTAATTGCTATGATCGAGTGAGGGTTATTTTGCTTGTATTTCACATGTAAGCAAAGCAAATTAAAGAAAAAATAAAATATCAGTGTCTATGCTACATCTTTTACCATTTTACCATTTTTATATACATTGTTCAATTCTTTCAAACCCTAGAAATATATGTATAGACACACACACACTCATACTTCCATTCAAAAGTTTGGAGTAAGAAATACATTATTTACATTTACATTTTATTCATTTATTACAATACAGTTATTCAGCAAGGATTCATTACACTGATCAAAAGTGACATTTATAATTTTATGTTGAAATGTATTTCAAATAAATGATTTACTTTTAAACTCAAAAATATTTAAAATGTTTCTTAAACACCAAATCTGCATATTAAAATGATTTCTGAAGACTGGAGTAATGGCTGCTAAAAATTCAGCTTTGCCATCACAATAATTATTTCATTTAAATTATTAAAATTAAAATAGAAAAGTTATTTAAAATTGTAATTTTGCTTCACAATTTTTTTTTCTGATAAATGTAAATAAATGCAGCAATTGTGAGCATAAGAGACTTCTTTTAAAAACATTAAATAATCTTACTGACCTCAGACTTTTGAATGGTAGTGGGTGTTTATGAAAATGAATAATACATAAAAACAAAATTATATAAAAAGAAATAATAATAATAATAATAATGAAAAACATAGCTTCCCACAGTCTTGAAAAAAACCCCTGTTTGAGAACCACTGGATTAGAGTATGGCATGTTTAACTTAGAAAAATGCTAACATTAAACTCTCAGAAACAACTATAGTTGACTTTCTTCTCTTATGTTTTTTTTTTTATATCAATCTGAGATACACACACATACAGCTTCTTTCACAAATATTAACTACATTAAGTAAAGTAAATAAAGAATCCGCAGAATATGCACCCTAAGGATCAGTGCGTTCATTGCTCTGGTCATCAGAGATATGAGAGTCACCCCACACATTCATCTCATAATGAAAAGCAAATATAGCAATCCTCCACACTCAGCACTTTCTTTCCTTAATTAAGCCAAAAGGTGTTAATGAAAGTGATTAGATAAGGTCTTCTTAAAGGTTATTTGCACACAACACCTGTTAGTCTAAGGAATATTAATAAATTAGAATAAGTGACAGGAGAGTGTGTGTGCAGGGAAGATAACGAATGATTCAGCTATTCATTTGCTTCATTTTCCCCCTTTCTTTCAAAATGGCTGTCCTTTAGCTCATTGTCAACAGCTTTAATTCTCAATTCATTTCATGAAAAAAAAAGTAGACAAAAAAGGGGGAAAAAAACCCCAATTTCATTCTCAATTGCACCTGAAAAGAACAACAAGAAACAAATCTGAGGGATTTTAGTGTGAATAAAAATATAATCAAAAAAGCATGTGAGGGCGTGATGACATCTCCCCCCCGCCGATGCCCCGCTCTGGGAGAGTGGCAGCGGAAGTGTGGCGGTGGGGCCCAGAGGAAGCCTGTCACCTGAGCATTCTTTGAACCATCACAGCTGCTTTGTGGGAATGAACGACGGCACCAAAGAAAAAGAAGGAGAGAGAGAGGGAGAGAGAGATCGTCACTTCCATCACTTCTCCATTACACTGATCAAAAGTGACATTTATAATTTTATGTTGAAATGTATTTCAAATAAATGATTTACTTTTAAACTCAAAAATATTTAAAATGTTTCTTAAACACCAAATCTGCATATTAAAATGATTTCTGAAGACTGGAGTAATGGCTGCTAAAAATTCAGCTTTGCCATCACAATAATTATTTCATTTAAATTATTAAAATTAAAATAGAAAAGTTATTTAAAATTGTAATTTTGCTTCACAATTTTTTTTTCTGATAAATGTAAATAAATGCAGCAATTGTGAGCATAAGAGACTTCTTTTAAAAACATTAAATAATCTTACTGACCTCAGACTTTTGAATGGTAGTGGGTGTTTATGAAAATGAATAATACATAAAAACAAAATTATATAAAAAGAAATAATAATAATAATAATAATGAAAAACATAGCTTTTGCACCCTGTCTATTCATATTAATCTGTATTACCTATACACAATTGTAATTAAACACAATGCTACAAAGACAACACACACACACACACACACACACACGGTTATAATGCAGCAACCGTTTCAAACACAGTAAGACACATTCCACATGCCCTAGTTAAGCAGAGGAAACAATCAATCAAAGAGACACTAAAAAGAGCCTATTTAATGTTCTATTTTGAAGTCTGACTGCTGTTTTCTGCGATTATTTCTGCCATGTGCACTTATAGTATCAAGAGAATGACAAATAAACTAGAATTCTCTAATTCCCTGGACACTAGAAACTCCTTTCTAACACACACACACACACACACACACATACACACACGCACACAGCTATAGACCACCGTTAAGTATATGAGCATGAGAAAAGTGTGTTTTTCTCTCACTGGAGGGACTTGGGAAAGCCTAAGAGGGCTCAATATCACTCGCAGGCTGGACGTCATGGTAAGTGGTTCTCATTGTGAGTACAGAGTGGTCTCTTTCACATGTGTGTGTGTGGAGGGGGGGAGTTCAGGTATGCTTTGTTGGCCTATTCTGTGGGGTGGGAAGAGCCCATAGAGTGTTGGTAAAACACAAGCTGACAGGTAAATGGGCCTTGCTGGCATCTGGGGAGCCATTTGGAGAGTGTCGAGCAATGTAAAGATCCACGGCTCCAAAGAAACGGGAAGAGAAAAGAAAAATAAAGCTGTAAATTGATACCGCAATCTATCTTTTTTTATTTGTTCTC